TTGTCTTATTAAGGTCTGGAAAAGTCTGTGGACAACTCATTTTGCCAACTGGGTGGGTGGGTATATAAGGATACATTTTTTTTTTTTTAATCTCAGGATCTTGAAGAACTGGAAATCTTCAAGAAAGGGAAAGATCTAATTAGACCTGCCTTTTTTTTAATGGCACCCAGCCTTAGTAGCAAACGGCATTTGTGCATTACAGCGCCCACGTTGACAGGCAAGCAATGTGTTAAATCACAACAACTGAGTTTAATGGGAACTGACAGGCTGTCTTACAGCATCGCCTCCATTCTCTGGGAGGCCCTCTCACCCCCGTTTACAAGGCTCTGCCTGGCCGTTCCCACTCGCTTTGGCCGCATCTTAGTGGGGTGGCCTCATTCTGCAGACTCTGTCCTTCTTTCTCCACCTGTCGGAAATGTCGAGGCCACTCTCCAAGCCTCTTGAATCTTCTTCCCTGATACTTTCCCCCAATTCTACTTCTTTCTCTCCCTCTCTTATCACCTTCCCACTCTCTCTTCCCTGTTTCCTTCACCTTCCCTCTTCTCTTCCTCATTCGCCCCCTTTTCCTCTCCAACCTCCTCCGTCCAGTCCCTTCGAGAGCAGCTTTCCTCAAGGAAGTACCCTCACCCCCGCCGTGGGCCGGCATCTTATCACTGACCTCGCTGCCTTATCCGTTCACTCTGTGAAAAAGCTAGTCTGCCCCAAATGAGAAGAAATCAGAGAAAGTAAAGAATGTTGTAAGGCAAACAGAATATCTATCTGGACTCAAACACCTTACAAAGGTATTTTTAACTTTGTAACGCTATATTCTCTTGGGGAAGTCAGGCTACAGAGCTAGGAAGTATTGTTTGTAATACCATACAGGACCCTATCCGTAGCCACATGACAGAGCTGCTCTAATGCTTGTCGGGAACATTACAAGGTCAAAGAAGCATGCCAACATTTCCACCATTGCGATACCCTGTGACGAGGCCCCTTCTAGGACACCGTGGAAATTCTACGCAGAACACAGGGGGCAAGAGGCCATACACCCAGGCTGGGGAATGAAGTGGGCAGGATGGCCTCCCACTCCTTGGGCCTTGCTGCACGGGATCATGATTTTGGAAGGCCACCCAGTCTGTCCTCCCGCCCAGGTCAGGGGTCCCCGCTCCCATCTCTCCTTTCCTGGAGGTAAAATGGACAGAACAAGGACCCAGGCTCAAGTACCCTAAGAATGGCAGGACACCACCCTCAGAGGGGGCAGACTGTATTTAAATGCAATTCACCTCTTTGGGGTCTAGGAAAAGCCACTCGTAGATTCATTTGCTGGGAAACACGGTCTGTGTGGCTGAGGCAGTGGACGCTGGGGTCGTGGTCTTGCCAAAAGTTGACTTCCTCCGGAGCTCTGTCTGCTGTCCGGAATGGCAGCCGCTTCGGTGGGCGAATAGGATGGTCATCTCTGGGCCCAAGGGCGCTGCTTCAGGCTGGGATCCCTTAGGGGCGGCTGGCTGTTCGGGCTTTCCGGAGGTGGGATGGGAGGTGCTGTGTTTGGAGGGAGGAGGGCTATAATTTTGAAATCTCACGGTTTTGACTTGCTGCAAGAGAGAAAGCAAAGGGACATCGGTGAGGTGGCAGACATGTGCCATCTTCCCCTGGGACTTGGTCCATGCTGTTTCTCTACACTTGCCGCTACTTGAAGCCTCATTTACATGTTATTCAGGAAATACTTGTGTCTCCAAGTGTCTACTACGAATCACTCACTCCGCTAGGTGCTGTGAATCCAATAGTGAACAAATAGACAAATAGACACTTATAACTAGCGCCACGAAGGGGGAAGTATAAGGTGCTAGGGGAATACAGAGGAGTATCGAACTGAGGTTGGAATAGTGCTAGTCAGGGAAGGCTTCCTAGAGGCAGAGCTATTTAAATTGAGAACTGAAGAACAGATTAAGAATTATCTCGGAGAAAAAGGGTAGGCAACCACCTACCTGAGGAAAGGGCCTGAGGCGAGACGGGATGCTCTATTCTAGAAAGTCTAAGAAGTTCGCCTTCCCTTTCTCCTCTCCTCCCACCACTGAGGCCTATCCCAAGGCACACCACTTCCTTGAGGCCTCCCCAGCTGACTCCATCTAGCGAGGTCTAAAATGGCTTTAGAAGTCCTCCAAGCGGAATTTGCAAACTGGACACATGCTGGCTGAATTTAGTCTGCAGAATGTTTGAGAGTTTGATTTAGTTGCCGACACATACAAATTGGGAGATTACATATAAAATTCAGTATTTCATATGTCTTTTAAAAAAATCAAAGCTCTGGCACACTGGGCCCCATGCCCCATGTTGGGGACAACTGGCTGGAACTGATTAACAGTTCCCCCTTTGTAGGGAAGGCACGGTCTCCTGTTTGCACGAGCCAACCCCCT